CAAGCTTTTATGATACTCTGGCATATGTTTATGTATTCAATATGTCCAACGTTTTTAACACTTTTATTTGGCTGTTTGACTGTAAGAAATATTCATCAAGGTCGACAAGTAGTGCCAGTAGTAGTTGGTGAGAATAATCGTTCCGCTAGACGTACAAATAGTCAACTTTTACGTATTTTAACTATTCAAGTGATTATCATTGTTATTGCAACATTACCTTATAGCCTCGTGCGATTCTATATATCCATTACTGGCAATATAGTAAAAGATAGAGTTCAAATCGCAAAAGAAAATTTAGTACTTCAAACATTTAATTCAACGACATATTTTGCTCATTCAAGCGGCTTCTATTAATATACATTACTTGGTAGTGTGTTTAGAAAAGAAGTTGTTAAGATTATTACTCGTCATTTTCCTCACTTTCGTAGGAGAAGAAATCAAGTATCCATTGCAAACCAGAACAATTAAACTGTTTTCGGTCTGAATATGTATTCTTTATGTTGTATAAAGAATTATAAATAAAAATCTGATTTTCTGCACTGTCACGTAAAACAAATGTGCACCTTTTGACGATGAACATTCCATTCATCCGTGTGCATCAAGTAAGTGACTGGTTGCAGTTTCTCTTCTTCATTGTTCGAATACACATGTCATTCTCAACCATACTAACAACATTGCAATCTTTCATCTCCTGTACCATTTTGAGATGCAAATACTGAGAGTGCTTAGTGTGTTCACAGTTTATTTGCATTTACCATCTTGATGGTGTGAGCGTGTGTCAGTGGATAATATAACCATCTTCCATCCACACACTCACACCCTTGCAGTTATCAATTGATTACAAGAAAATGACTGATAATATTCTTGCGCCATTGATTATTTTCTTATAAATGAAATATTCCAAAATAAAATCTTAATGAAATAAAATTTGAAAAATCGAGAATTACATAAGAAATTTTTCGTTAGGACAAATATGTTTTAACATTGTTTTGTATTTATCTCAATAAAACTAATCCGTTTATTAACTAGTTTTCTACTTTTGTTCACATATGATAAATTATCTTTTTATTACAAGTATTTTATTTGATAAGATATATTGAATTTTTGCGTTGAATAAATAGAAGTTTGGATAATTAAGAAACAAAATCAATCTGCATAATATTCAATTTCTAGAAAAATTAAATCTCGAACTATTTATTTGATTATTTGAATTCGATAGAATAAATCAACTCTTCAATAGTTTAATTTTATCGAGGGTCTGCGTGTGTGGGTGTAGGTGTGGGTGTGAAGTATTCTTCTCATTCATTCCTCACACCCACACCCACCCTAATTAGTATACGAACCGAATGTGGTAAGTAAATTTGGAAAATAGATACTTAAAGTCCGGTCGTGATACGTTAGTCTCACGTTTGAATCATGTTTTTCTGATCTACTTTTCCTGATATTATCACGTCACAAAAGGTGCGTACGGACGAAAGAAAGAAAGAAAGAAAGAAAGAAAGAAAACTCACAGCGCGCCACTAAAGAGTGCCTTCGCACCTAAAAAGATTAGAGGAACCACAGAAATAACTTGTTAGATCTTATCTTCTTCTGTTAACTAGTTTATTTAGAACGTGATAAGTTTAACTACTAACTAATTTACACACACACACTAATTTACACATACACACTAACTTAAACATAATCTCTCTCTCTCTCTCTCTCTCTCTCTCTCTATATATATATATATATATATATATATATACTAGCTGGATATTTCCCATATCATATTATGGAAAAATACCTGAGTTATATATATAAGAAGTCTAAACTAGAAAAATACCAATACAACATATCGAGGACACGTAACAGAACGAAAGAAAGATCACATACATAGAAAAGAAAGAAAAGAATATATGTGGAATAATTCCTTGTAAATCTAATAAGGAATATTCCATAACATAACTACAAATATTTTTCTATCATTAAAATTCGTCAATAATCTTCACTAGACAATTGTCTACATCAAAGAGAGAAAATAATTTAAATATGGTCAACATATTAATATTGTACATTTTTCCATTATGGTTTGGAATTGCAGATTCATTAAGAGTAATCATTTCCATATTATTATAACGATGAGTTTCTTCTTTCCAGTAAAGAATATTGATAATAATTTTCATAGTTTCGATACCAATAAATTTAATTAATTCACAATCAAGACTTAATTGTTTTGTTACATTTGTTTTTTTAAAATCATCATTAATGATTTGTTTAAGAAAACTTTGTGCTTTACGATTCCAAAATGTTAATGGTAATACCATCGGTAAATCTGCAGGATTATGAACGACATTATAATTACATTTTTCAAAAGCATTTAAAACTTTATCCATGTCATTTTGAGCATACCATGAAATATCTAGTGATGTTAAATTATGTTCATAGGCTAAATGAATAAAACCAACAAGTTCTTGAGGACCTTTGGGCCATTTTATGACAGGTTTTATAATCGTTGGAAGTCCATTTTCATTTGGCCATGCTTTGAAACATTCGATTATTGTGCCTAAATTATGCCAATGTAATTGTTTGTGCAGCTGTTCGACGAATATGTCAATGATTCCCTTAAATTGTTGAAATGATGTTGTAAAGTAATCATAAAATCGCTTAGCTAAAGGACCATATGTTACTGCCAATGGTAAAGGTGGAGACAGAGAAAGAACGAGACCAATATGTGTGCCCATTGTATTGATTATATTAGGAGCAGAGAGATAACTAATTATACGAAATTCATCTGGTTTTAGTAAATCATGTTTTATCATTTTACGATCATAATGTGCTTTAAGAATTTCCATAATACCAGGACTATCGAATGTGACAGCAAATGAGAGAAGTTTTTGTTCGAATAATGTATCATTGGCGACAAGAAATTCTGCAATAGCTGCACCTAATGAATGACCAGTATGCCATAGAATTTGTTTTGGATCGATCTTTTCTCGAAGTTTATTGGTGAATTGTTGTGCTACTCTAAATTGGTCTGGAATCTGTAAAATAAATAAATGGTAATCAGCAATAAGTGAAGCATTATTAACATCGAAAACTGTTCCTCGATGGGCAAAAACTATTTCTTTTGTTTCAGTATGTTGAACTGCAATGCCATAGTAACCACTATGCTGTATATCATTGCATTCATCGATAAATGTCCATAATGGAAGTAAAGGTAAACGAAGTTTGCAATAGGCAACATTACTTAACTCTGCGAACTCTATATGAGTTGGCCACATATTCATGAATAGTTTTGATGAAGCTGAGTTCACTTCTCTATATTTTTCAGCTTCTTGCCTTAAACGTTTGTCATGATTTTTTCGAATTATAGCATAATAATCGTTCAGTTTGGCCAGTATCGATTGACTTTGGATGTTTTTTGTGTCTGTTCTGTATTTTTCAATATATTTCTCTATAGAGAAATTTGCTTTTGAGTATTCACCAAGCATATCATATGCAAATATTGTATAGAATTCAAGCTGAACATCATTTGAATTGTATTCACCTAATACTTTATTGAATTCTTCAAGTGCTTCTTGATATTTTCTATCACGGTATAATAATAAACCACGTAAGGTATATAACCTTCTAATTTTTCTCTTTATTTTTTCCTCAATTAACATTTTACTTGTGTTGTCTTCATGAGAATACATTGGTGGTTTGATTTGAAGATTGTACCATTCATGCTTATATAATGCTTCTTCGTTATAAAATCTATCTTTTATTTCTGTTAATTTTTCTATAGAATTATCATATTGACCACATTGAGACATATCCAATTCAATTGCTTGGATATTATCCATTAATGCCTCACTTGTTGACAGTTCATCACACCACATTATAATCGATCCACGTGGACGAATTAAAGATGAATTTTGAACATATAACACCATAGATACAAGTACAACTGACAATATTGAAGTAAGTATGAACCAAAAAGTGTATACAATGAAAGCTTTGCATATTCTGTTTCCAATTATTTCGATGCGGAATAACTTTAATCCGATTATTCTCACTCCTGCTTGTGTATTAGCAAATAATACAGCAAGAATGTGTTTTATGTCATTCCATCCTATAATTACATCATCATGATTGTCGTTCACGAAAAATTTGAAAGAACGTGTATACAAATTGCAATAATAGCCAAAAGACACTAGAATACTGAACAACAGAGAAAGCAAATAAAAGATTATGTTCCAATGACTCGTAATGCCATCATCAGCCAGAATATCATATGGGTAGATTGAAAAGAAAATTGGCATGAGCACAGAAAATAGAGAAACTTTTAGATATAGAATATTTTTTATAATCATAGGTACGTACTCTTCTAAAGATACAGGGACGACGAATATAATAAATGCCGTTGATATAAAAATAGACCAGCAATATTTAAAGTTAATATTTATAAACAGGTTCCAAATAGATTTCCAGTGCAGAAGCGGTAGAATATATACAAAATAAACCTCAACATGACGATCATCGAAGTAATTATACATAAAGATTACTAAGCCGATTGCAATTTCTGCTGAATACCACAAAACAATCACACCAAATATTATCGCAATGAGTACGGAACCGAATCCGCTGTGGTATGCAATTGAACATAGACTGTGTACTGATGAGATAATACGGAAAATTGCACCTATACTCATTGATCTGTAAAATGAAAATCTAAATTGTAAGCGAGTTCAATAAAGATGTTTATTAGTAATAATAAACATAGACAAATAGATAAAAGAAGAGAAATATGTGACGATTTCTGTTAGAAGAGACATATGCGATGATGGAACTACGCATTTATTTATTTATTTCTATCATACATCGCATCTTTTACAGAGAGAAACAGGCAGTTATATATGTACAACTAAAAGAAAGAGAATGAAGAAAACAAATGTATGAGAGAGAAATAAAGATAACAGAAAGAGAAGAGCGAAGCAAAATGAATAGAACGGTATCATCACAGATATCATTACAAGATGCAAGAATAAAAGATCAAACAAGAAGAACAACAACAAGATGGATAGATGGTGCGATCTTATAACTGCATGAAAGTACAACGTACAGAAGGAAAAAAAGAACATAGAACATGGCGCCATGTAATAGGTAATTTTTCAAATATAAATATATAAAGAGAAATGCTTATTTGTCTATTTCTTCGTTATGTGTTAGCGTCTGTGTGATTCACTCGACGCTAATCTAGAGATTAAGTTGGTCCTTCTAGTCTAATTGGCTTAGGATAATTGCCCAGATAGCAGGAGGTGTAGGTTCGAATCCCACGAAGGTCACTTTTTCTCCATTTTCTCTATCTTTCATTCTCTTTCGCTGATGTCGCTTTCATGGCTCTAATATGATCCTAACAATAATAGTCATCCCCTCACTGATTTTCTGGATTCACCCCTGAGTCGAGGTAAAAACAGAAGTATGAAACGGTATTCCGAGGAATATCAGCCGTGCGGATGCACAGATTCTCACTACTGAGCTATTTTCTTGCTAATTGAGTTCACAAATAGGATAATAATTACTTTTTCACAATTTAGCAATTTTATTACATTTTTCTGAGACAAAAAAGCATTTCTGTTATATAATAGTTTTTTTCTTGGTTTTCATATTATTCTAATACTAATTTTTTTAAATTTTTAAATTTAAAAAAAAATTTACTTTATTCTTTATTTTAACTTTATTTTACAAATAAAGTTTATCTTTATCTTTATTTGATGAAGAATAAAGATAATCCTTATTTTTTCTCTTTATTTTTAAAATAAAGATTATCTTTGTTTTTTACAAAATAAAAATAAACATTTTCTTTACTTAATTCTCTATTTTAAAGTAAAATAAAAATAAAGTAACACCCCTAATTTGTAACAAACACACTTTTGAGAATGTTTAGTTTTTCTTGAGTTACGATACCTTTTTCCAAGTTGCGTCAAACGATCGTGATCAATTGGAGCCGAATTTCTTATGTTTCTTTCAATGCACAAGTTATATTGTTTCTCATGATAGAAAAAATGCTTGTATATACTTCTTTTTGTCGTTCGGTTGTAATGATTATATATCGGACGAGAAAAGCTTTTTCCATCTCTTACAAAATGCGTGCTAAACATAAAACTGGTTTTTTTCTCTTTCCTTCATCAAATCATTTACGTCGTTCTTTTATAACCAAATGAAGCTGGAAGAAAAAATATTCTTCTTTCTTCCGATAGAAAAAATATTTGTATATACTTCTTTTTGTCGTTCGGTTGTAATTAATTATTCTGGGATGCGATTCGACCTATTTTTCGTCTAAATCCTATATTTTTGAAAAATCCTTTATTTGTTCTATATTTCAATTGCTTTTCCTATTTTACCTATATTTTATCGAAAAACAGGGAAATGCAACTGATTTCACAAAAATATGAGAAAATAAAAGATTATTCAAAGAGTATTAGTCGAATTCCACACCGACAAGCTAGTGAGTACTGATAAAATCGGCCTTTATACATTTAAAAAAAACAGATTGAATATATATATATATGCACATGTATAGATGTTTTCAGTTAACACACGTAAGATAGCTATTTTAAAACTTTATGTGAAATAGACATCCAAATAGTATCCGTGCTACTCTTGCTCAACTGAAGTCTGAGATGCACAATGCTCTATTAATTGCTAATACTGCTATGCATCGAATCCAATCGATCGCCCAGCAAGTTCCAACACATGTAAAAACAGCTATAAAATTTGCTGCTTCGACATCAGACACCATGCGTAAGTTGATGTTACCACGTACAAGCGAAAGTCTCAGCCGGTTGGGTGTCGAAGTTGTCGATGTGACGAGGTCGACTCTTCAGCGTTTCTTCTCTGTCTTTGATTTATTGGATGAAGTTATTGAACTGAGTGTCACTACTCATGCGTCGCACATAGCAGTCATTCCTCAAATACGAACGTATGGAGAAGCCATCCAGTACATCACGGATTCGTCCGCATCTACTTTCGTCGATAATGAATCAACCTTGTTTGATGATAATATTGATTTTAGCATCGATAAAATATTCGCTTCTATTTCTGCAGTCAGTTGGATGTACAACAAATTGAAAAATTTGTCACCAACAATCGAGAATAACAAGTTCAAGAATGTCATTAAAAGAAATGAACCTACTCGAGAACCAATGCGAGAAATCGAAAAAGCTCATAATCGACGCATCCGACAGCAGTTTTCCAAAGAAAATGAGTTAACTAAGTTTATTGATGATATGGTAATATTCAATTCGAGAGCATTGAATTCTGAAACGATGCATCCACTGTTGGAGTCGGTCAAACAGATTAATTCGATCCGAGAGCAATGGACTAAGATCATTCGGTTCTTCGCCTATTTGAACATGAATACTGGTCATATTCAAAAGGTATGATAATTATCTGAGTTGCTATATTGTCAACAAATTCGTACTATATTGCTTTTCCTTCTATTCAGATTATTGCAGAGCAATTCATCGATATACTTCAATACGCAGTACTGACTGATTATCTAAGCGATCCATTAGATCATGAATTTTTCATGAGCCTTCTGGATCAGGGCAGTGAAATCACAAATATTGCGGTTGACAGTTTGGCTACATTAGCAAAACAATATTATACTATATCGAGTGAACATATAGTTAATCAAGTGGTTGGTTTTCGTCAATCACTGTTCTGAGAAAAAGAACGGATTGTAATCTATTTTGCTCAAAAATGAGAGTGAAGATGTTGAGAATAACGTGAGCTCAATATGAGTTTTCGAGAAGGCTAAAAATAATCTTTCATCTTATCTATTCTCGACTACGATACATACGAAAAGTGGGGGTGGATGTGCGTGTGAGTATGGATGACTGACTAATAGTACACTTACATCCAAGATCAACGCTCTGGAAGAAGGGTGCAAGAGCATGAGTGTTTCTCAAGTTTTTCGTACTTTACTGAGGCGTCTACTTGTTACCTAAGGATGAAATCTATACGACTTGACCATCTAAATATGTTTGTTCCTTGGTGAAATTTGCTAAAGATTATATTTAAATTTCCAATTAGATTAAAAACAAGAATAACTTCACGGAGATATCACACTAGAAAAATCTTAAAGGATATGTGCTGTGAATAATTGGTCAGTAATTACCTTCGTTGACCCTATTTGACTTTTGAAGTGTGTCTGTGAAAAACATCTTGGCTACTGTATGTGAAAAACATTTAGCCTATCTCACTTTCGAAAACTATCGAGAGCCCTGTACTTATGTGCTGTTCGTAATCAGAATAAATGTAGCATTGAAAATATTACACTAAGACTTAAGCTATGAAAACAAAATAATCAGTGTTTATCTCGTTTAATTAATAATATCGATCCAATTAAATACTTATCCTTGACGTTTGTTTTGATGTTCTCGAAATTTGGAGAGTTTAATACGTTTGTCGCATCTTGGACATCTTGAGGGTGTAGTGGGTCTGGATTTGGGTCGTTGTATAATATAATCATCTCCCATCTACACACTCACACCAACCACCACCTACACTGACACCCACACCGATCACTATATGAGAAGAATGTATATCTACGTATCATTTCTTGAAACTTATAATCTAAATTTTTTGATCGGTGATAGTGAATATATAGTTTGCGAGTTTGATAAAATCTTTTACAACGGGTGTCGGTGTGAGTGCCAATGAAACGAAAAAGCACACACCCACATGCTTGAGATGATTGTATGTTATAAAATATACTGACTTTTTGAGTCGAATCAACAGAAGTTTGGACAATTAAGAGAAACAATCAATTTGCATAACGTTCAATTTATTTTCAGATTTTACAGAATTTTTTTTTTAGAAAAATAAATTGACTCTTCAACGATAGTTTAATTCTTCATCACAATAAAACGTTTTAATTTGATCATAATTATTCGTCATGATGAACAATTTCAAAGGATATTAATATGATGAATTCTGATTATTTTATTTATGTATTTATTTCTCATAGATTTGATGTGTTTTGATGATACTCATATTGTTGAATAGTATTTGATGATTCATTCTGAAGATGAACAACTACAGTTTTCTTATCATTTATCTAATTTGTGAAATAAATGAATAAAATCAATTGTGCAATATATTTTTTCTTTCAACTGAATATTAAATAACAACTACATTTTATTCTTGAGGAAGCGTTGTATTTCCTTCGTTAAAGCATGATTTTGGATGTAATTTTAACAAAAATAATATTAAATTTTGTTGTCATATCCTTCCTACAAAATTTTAATATCATGAACATTTTTTTATATTTACAGTAAATAATACCTGACATCTCATACCAGCTTTGAAAAAAGGAAATAGATGCATTGTTTTTATTTATTGATAATTTTAAATATTATGTTTGCTGCAAATATGTCAGAAAAAAAATAAAGTTATCATTAACATCATTAGGTAGGCGAATAGAGTAAAAAAATAAACTTCTTGTTTTACTAATGTTCAGTTTTCAGTAAAATATAGAAAAGTTTTTTTATTATTCAATAGTAGACATATCAATAACCAATGAAATTCTTCTCATTTTTATTTATTTCATAGATTTGTCATTATATTTAGTAGAATCATCAACTATGTTCGACATTCTTTAAATTATTAAGTACCGAGAAAAGGATTTTCAAATTATATTTTGCACTTTATTTTTATGTATTTATTTGATTTAAAACAAAAATAATACTGAGTGAATTATTCTGATACTAACTGTATATAATCGTGTTTATGTAGAATATTTGTGAATATCGAAATCTACAAGGTAGTATGTGAAACTAAACTAGTTTAAATAAGAGTTAATTTTTATAGAAAGAAAAACATTGAAAATCAACATTTTTTGAAGGAAATGCAAATTTTCCTGAGAGAAAGAATGTATTTTATTGTTTTTCATTCCTTTGAAAGTCTATCAAATTATTGTCGATAGAATATTTTGATGGTGTATGATAATGGATGAGAATGACGATAAATTAACATCAGGATAAGACAACATAGCGGACTTCAAGATTTCACGATATTGTAGAGGGCCTAATGATTGATATAACTGTTGTTTTCTTTAAGTTCACTTTCTCTATTGTACTAATCCTTTTTGTTTTCTTGAATGTTCTATTTCGATCTCCAATTAAATCAATAAATATCATAAATTTTAAAAGAGTTTTTGTGTATAGTAGAATATTTTAACACCAGATTTTTTTCTCTGTGAGGATATGATGCATATCCTTCGAACAGCGCTGAGTTTTTATGTTTTATTAACTAATAATTACACTAAATATTGTCTCAAACAATTTTATATTTATAAAAGACAACAACTCTATCTGATAAGAGTTCGTTTTTATTGATATCTGATATTTAACATTAACACGATAATCTACGTCATATAAGAGAACTGATTATTTAAGAAAGAGAAAGAGAGAGCATGATAAATAATTTTTCTATTATTTTAACAACTTTTTAGTTGAAATTGGAATGAAAAACTTCTAAGTGAGAAAAACGATATCTAATTACCGAAAATTTATAAATGAAAAAAACTTTTTTGTCAATTTTAGATTGTAAAAGTATTAAACTTTCAACAAGATATCAACATGAACAACAACAACGGAATAGGAATTGCTAATGAAGTAATTCATTGAAAAAAAGAATTATAAAATATAATATTTTGTCTTTGTTGATTATTTTAGTCTGAAACAGTTACTTCGAATGCAACGCAACCAACAACATTGTATGTATATTGTAAATTGTAGACGATGATCAAAGAGATCGATTTTTATTTTAGATACGAACATTATCGAAAAAGAAAATTAGTATGGAGCATATGTATTATTATTCTTTTTATTGTTTCAATGATAACGGCTCCACTTGTTGTTCTCTTGAGAACAAAGATAAACAGTGAAAAAGCATCAACAACAGGTAGTCCTAATGAGACAATCGTTTATTATAAGAATTTATATATGATACTTCTAAATAGATAGAGAACTTATGGGCCTGAAAAGCTCAAAGTTATTTTAAGGGCAACATTTTTTTCCTTACTTTTCTGCCTTATTTAGGTGAATGGACAATGATAGAAAACATGAATGTTGAACGAGTATATCACACAGCATCCACATTAGCAAATGGATATGTATTAGTTGCTGGTGGATGGGACGTTAGTGCTGAATTGTATAATCCGTTAACAGATACTTGGACAAATACAGGCAATATGAATATCGCACGAATAGGTCACACAGCATCCCTATTAGAAAATGAATATGTATTAGTTACTGGTGGAATGAAGAACGATGCTGCTTTGAATAGTGCTGAATTGTACAATCCATTAACAGGTATTTGGACAACTACAGGAAACATGAATGTCGCACGAGCAGCTCACACAGCATCCATATTAGCAAATGGATATGTATTAGTTACTGGTGGAGTGAATACCGGTGCTACTTTAAGTAGTGCTGAATTGTACAGCCCAATAACAGGCACTTGGGTAACTACAGGAAACATGAATGTCGCACGAGCCGCTCACACAGTATCCATATTAACAAATGGATATATATTAGTTGCTGGTGGATGGGATGGTAGTGCTGCTTTGAATAGTGCTGAATTGTACAATCCATTAACAGATACTTGGACAACTACAGAAAACATGAATACCGCACGATATTATCACACTGCATCCATATTAGCAAATGGATGTGTATTAGTTGCTGGTGGAGACAGCCTCAGTCATTCTCTGAATAGTGCTGAATTATATGATCCGTCAACAGGTACCTGGACAACTATAGGAAATATGAATGTCGCACGACGAGGTCACACAGCATCTACATTAGCAAATGAATATGTATTAGTTACTGGTGGATTCAACAACAATGGTGGTTATCTTGATAGTGCTGAATTGTATAATCCATCGACAGATACCTGGATAACTACAGCAAACATGATTGCCGCGCGAGATTTTCACACAGCGTCCACATTAGCAAATGGGTCAGTATTAGTTACTGGTGGATATGGAAAATTTGGTATGCTCAATAGTGCTGAGCTTTACTGATGGATATAGACAGAATGACATTTTCTTTTGTGAACTGAATCATAATTTTTTTTCTTATGTAATCAAACTATTTAATCATTCACATTGCTTAATAAATTATCATTCACCAAATAATATGTTTTTTTTTGCTTAACTGAATGCAAATTTCGCTTTAAGAAAAGCGAGTATATATATATAGATTTGAAGAATTTTAAGCATTCATATGAGAGTAAGCCCGAATGTGATGATAATGTCTGATAGCATGAGTAAGGGTCTCTAAGTGAATATTGGCACTGAACAACTCAATCTTTTCGAACCATACTCTTTTTATCCAATAGTTTCATTGACTTAATTGTTGTAGGGTGTGGGTGTGAATAGTATGTTTAGCTCACACCCATATCCACATCCTAGTAATGACGAATTAATCACCATTAAAGAAATCGCAAAAATGTATTGCAAAAACTTTACAACTCTATTTGAAATAACAAACTTCGTCTTGTTTTTCTTAGTTACTAATTGTTAAAATGAAAACAAAAAGAGTAAACTTTATATTCATTAAAAAACAAAGAACGAAATAACCACTTTACACATACATCAGTTTACTCTCCAGAACAATCAAACAATACTTACAAATGATTTCAAGGTAAAGTTTGAAAGGTA